CCTGGATTTCCATGGGGACTAGCAGAATTCTAGTCTGCAGTCACTTACTGAAGTTGGAGCTGATTGGGGGGAATTGACAAAATTCACAGAGCCTCTAGTACCCACAGCTAAGTCCTCCCTAAATTGAAGAGAGTACCACCCCATTGTGTACAATACTTTGTACTGAACAAACCTCTTCTCCCCTTAGAACATACCTGCATTAGGTATTTTCTTCTATGGAGATCAATGACTAATCTAATTAATTGTTCATATATCTCAGAGTATATATAATTACCCCAGATAAGGTGATGACATTGTACCTGTGATTTTATAGAGACAAATCCATCCTAAAAACTCAGATACTAGGGTATCTCTGTGGGAAAGAAATATCTAGATAATCAGGCCACATGGGCTCCCTATCTACCCCATTTACTCAAGGATTCCAACGACTTGTTAAGGTCCAGGCCACAGAGATTCCTTAAATGGAAAACAGTAGTAGACTATAGTGTCTAAAGGGAGAGAAAGTCCAGAAAGTTCCAGTTTTAGCAAATAGCTCCACTTTGCTCCCTATATTTTATTTATCCAATAAAGTTTTTTATTGAGAATTGAATATGTTACATGCAAGGATTCTAGGTGCTTGGGGGATATCAATGAACCAAACAAACAGAAATCCCTGACTCATTCTCCCAGTAACCAAGATTTAGAATTGATCTGGCTATTTTTTTGACAGACAAATGGATAAACAAAATGTATATAAACATAGAAAGATATAATGTGCAACTTTGAAACAGAAGGAAATCCTATCTCATGCTACACCATTAATGACCCTTAGAGGATCTTATGCTAAGTGGAATAAATGAGTCACAAAAGAGCAAATACTATGCAATTCCACCTATATGAGATATCTAAAGTAGTCAAATCTATAGAAATAGAAAGAAATATAAATTAGAACAGTGGTTACCAAGGACTGGGAATGGCAGGAGAAAGGAGAGTTGCTGTTTAATGGGTACAGTTTCAAACTACATAGTTTCTACAAAAAGAGTGTCTGGAACCTGGTGAGTCAAAACACAGGTTCGATTCTGTGATATAAAACAGCACATCACAAAACGTTTTTACAGATACCTTGGTCCTAATTTTTATCACTGAATATGCACATGTTCCTTCTACAAGACAAAAATATTCTGGAGATACTTTTCACAGCAATGTAAATATATGGAATGTTACTGAACTGTATAGTTATGGGTAAGATGGCTTTTTTTGTGTGTGTGACACAGTCTTGCTCTGTCACCCAGACTAAAGTGAAGCAGCATGATCTCGGCTCACTACAACCTCTGCCTCCCTGGTTCAAGCAATTCTCCTGCCTCAGCCTCCTGAGTAGCAGGACTACAGGCATCTGCCACCACACCTGGCTACCTTTTGTATTTTCAGTAGAGATAGTAGAGATAGGGTTTTGCCATGTGGCTAGGCTGGTCTTGAACTCCTGACCTCAGGTGATCTGCCTGCCTTGACCTCTCAAAGTGCTAGGATTACAGGCATGAGCCAACGCGCCTGGCCAAGATGACAAATTTTAAGATGTGCATGTTTTTTGCCACAATAAAAAAATCCTTGCATTATGGAATTTATATTTATACTCATGAGAGTAGGGATGCAGTGGGGCTAATTCCAAGTATATAATAAACATAATTATAAATTATCATAAAGTATGTCAGAAGATGTTAAGGAAAAAAGGAAAAGGTAGAATAGGAAAGGGAGTATTCAAAGGGCCAGTTGCAGAAGGGAGTTCAGTATTAAACAAATAGTATATAAGAGCTTATTAAAAGCAATATTTGAGATGCACTTAAAACAAGTGAGTCAGTTAGTTAAACAAGTAAGAAGGAGGAAGATGCACATTTTAGGCAAAGGGAACAGGCAGAGTAGAGCACATGTCAGGTATACGCATGTTGTCTTAGAATAGCAAGAAAGCCAGGGATACCTGGGGGCCATTCAACAATGTCTTTGTAGGGAAATTGGTTACAGTTTTCCTCCAAGGCTCATCATTTTTATGTCATGGTTGCATGCTTTTCTATTCATAAAGTGCCCAGTATTGTGCTAGGAATTAAAGATAAAGTGGTAAGTAAGACAGGTATGACCTTGTTAACTGGAGGTGAGAGAAGCAATTACATCAGTAGCAATAACTGGTCATGTTTGGTAGGAATGTAGAAAAGGACTAACTTTGACCATCTTGGAGGTCAGGATAGGCTTCTCCGAGGATGGAATGGATGTTCCAGCCAAAATGTCAGAGTTACCCAATAAATGAGCAAGTGGAACAGTGCTCTGGGTAATGGAGTAGCACTTTGAAAGGCCTGGAGGTAACAAAGCTACAGAATTTGATCATGTTGCAAAATTGCAACTCTATATTCATTTTATACCAGTTCTCCTTTTTCCTCTCCCCTTTCTCCTGGCAACCACCATTCTACTTTCTGCTTTGATGAGTTTGACTACTACAGATACCCCATGTGAGTGGAATTGTATAGTATTTACCTTTTATGATTGGCTTATTTCACTTAGCATGATGTCCTCAAGTTTCATCCATGTTGCACATGACAAGATTTCATTCTGTTTTTAAGGCTGAACAGCATTCCATTGTCTGAATATACCACATTACTCCCTGTATTCATGAAAAGTATCTGCCAACAGCACTCTTTCTGCTATTGGTGAAATGCGGAGGAAGATGAAATAGACCACAAGAAGACTGTAATATTCAAACTCTACTATAGAGATTGGCTCTAGAATCTTGTGCATTAACACTTAAGAGATCAGTTAACCAGTTCCCCATTACAGAATATCACATAGTTCTGGCATGACACTTGACACCTGGAGATTATTATGTCTGTGGTGAATCTGTTATGATACACAAAAATCCACTTGTGCCTCACAGTGTGAGATTAGATCATCCTCATTAGATAAGATCTACAGTATTCTAAAGGCTAGCAGCAGTATGAAGTCCACTATATTTCCTGGAATAGTCAAAGTGTTTTCTTTCACTTTTTTCCCCAACATGAAACCCTCTGAATCGAGTACCAGACACAGAAATGAGAGATTTTAATAGCGTGTTCTTTTCCTTTTCAGTAATCCATACAGTCCCTTTCTGGAACACTTGTGAATAAACAGGAATTTAATGGAGTCCAAAAAAAAAAAATCAAGATGGACCTGGTACAGACTAAAATAGTGGATGAAAAGCAGAACAAAAAGGAAAGAGGGAGAGAGACAATCCTGGGAGGCCAGAAAAGCAGTCAGTGAGATGCAGATGGAAGTACACAAGGGAGAATATTTACTGTGGCACACAGCATTATGAAAGCTACAAAAACAAGTTGAAGAGAAGGTAGGAGAGGGAGAGAGGGCAGAGAAAGGCGCAGCGACCAGAGGTGGGAATTGGCCCAATGTAATCATGCCAACTCCCAGGGAGATTGCTGAGGGGTTCCAACCTGCAGATCCATCTGTCTCCTCGAATTCTAGGGCAAACCTCATTAGTGTGAGGAGGCACCCCACGGCTCAGTCCCTACTTCCCGGACCTCAGATCCCCATCTGGCAAGCTAACCAAGCAAGTGTGTTTGCTCTGCCATGAGAGTCAGATTTTCTTATTCACTCTTTTTCTGATAAATAAAATGTATCTTTCCCACTATTTATTGGCTTTTATTTGGTGTACCATGTTATGTTATTCTAGCCTTAGGAGTCACATTAATTCATTTTAGGTTGATTCCTGCAGAAGGTGAATAACTTAACTCTTTGTGTAATTAAACTCTGAAAAGTAAATCCTCATTCTCAGTCATTTGACCTGGCAGAAAGCCAAAGACATGTTCCAGGCTTCCAAGTAGTGGTTCCTTGGATTTAGGCCTGAGGCTGCAGGGCTAGGGTTACTCTGAAGGCTATTGGGTCATGTGCTTTCTCCTGGAAGAAACAGAAATTTAGGGGACCACTGAAAATCTAGATATTTACATTTCTAGGAGGGAAACGCTATTGTATAAAGAAACTTCCCCAAAATCTGAAAAATAGAACCAAAATTTGTTCAAGATGCATCCATGCTTCATAACCAGAGCTTACTTGAGGATGGTTAAAGCTCACATAGGTGAGACTTTCTCTGCCAAAACAAGTTTGTTTGTTTCTTTTTTTTTTTTTTCCCCAAGACAGAGTCTTATTCTGTTGTCCAGGCTGGAATGCAGCAGCATGATCATAGCTCACAGCAACTTCAGCATCTGAAGCTCAAGTGATTCTCCCGCCTTCGCCTCCCAAGTAGCTAGGATTATGGGTGCATGCCACCATGTCCAGCTAAGTTTATTTTATTTTTTATTTTTTGTGGAGATGGGGTCTTACTATGTTGACAAGGCTGGTCTTGAACCCCTGGGCTCAAGCAATCCTCCCACCTTGCCCTCCCAAAGTGCTGGGATTAAAGGTGTGAACCACTGCACCCAGCCCAAATTCATTCTTATCAGGGATCTGAGGGCTTGCCTCTCTTTATATCTACCCAATTTACTGATTTATTCAACAAATGTGTAACAAGTACTTACCCAATGCAGGCATTGTGATAGGTACTGGGACTACAGTCATGTAAAATATTTTTTTCTTGCCCTTATGAAGCTTACAGTGTCTTATAATAATTAAGGTTGCATTAGGAGATGAGAAATTTTCAAGCAAACTTTCAGAAGGTAACAGATTACACTCCTCTTCTTTGGGATAGTTGAAGACACTGCTTCTGATTCTTTTCTGTCCTCCATTCCATTGAGAATTGAGCAAGAGCAAGAAGGTGGGATTAGAACCCTATCTCCTGCCTTGTATTCCTGGCTCCTCTGCATATTGCTTGTGTGGCCTTGGCATATCATGTAAACTTTCTTTCTGGGCTCCATTTCTGACATCTATAGAATCCAACCTATCAGATTTACTTACCTCACCAAACTTCTGTGTATTTGAAATAAAATCAAATACAAGAGGCACCTTGTCAATTGCAAAGTTTTATATGATGAGGTCTTCTCTTCTGCCCCTCTTACCTTTGGCTTTGACTTTGGGCCTCAGGCTGATGCAATTCTCACTCTGCAGCATCCAGCTGTGTAGCCCCTTGGGTGTTTGTGTGGGACTCTCTGAGGCTCAGTTTCCTCACCTGTGAAATGAATATCATTGCATTTAACACACATGATGGCAAGGATTTTTAAAAATAACAATATAAGGCCGGGCGTGGTGGCTCAAGCCTGTAATCCCAGCACTTTGGGAGGCCGAGGCGGGTGGATCACAAGGTCAAGAGATAGAGACCATCCTGGTCAACATGGTGAAACCCCGTCTCTACTAAAAATATAAAAAAAATTAGCTGGGCCTGGTGGCGTGTGCCTGTAATCCCAGGTACTCGGGAGGCTGAGGCACAATTGCCTGAACCCAGGAGGCGGAGGTTGCGGTGAGCTGAGATCGCACCATTGCACTCCAGTCTGGGTAACAAGAGCAAAACTCCGTCTCAAAAAAAATATATATATATAAGTTTCAACTCTGCCACACAGAAGAGGCAGAGTCTTGTTTTGTTGCCAGGCTGGAGTGCAGTGGCACTATCTCGCTCCCTGCAACCTCCACCTCCCAGGTCCAAGCAACTCTTCTGACTCAGCCTCCCTAGTAGCTGGGATTACAGGTGGGCACCACCATACCCAGATAATTTTTGTATTTTTAGTATAGTGGGTTTTCACCATGTTGGCCAGGCTGATCATGAACTCCTGATCTCAAGTGACCTGCCTACCTCGGTCTCCCACAGTGCTGGGATTTCAAGTGTAAGCCACCATGCCTGGCCACATTTGCCTTCTTACTGCGCTGCCTACTTCTTCCAGTCTTCAGTTTATTTCTAAAAACCATTAGGGAAGCAAGATCAAGATTGCTGTGTGTGGAAGGGAAACTATAGAAAAGTTCACCTTTCCCCATCAGTAATAATTTTTAAGCACTTAGCATCTCCTCTGCCAAAACAGTAGTCACTCTAGTAGAGTTAATAATTGATGAGATATTAATAATACCTAAAAACATTAGAGCTAACTATGGAGTTATGATCTAAACACATCATACGAGTAACTTATTTAATCATCCACTATCTGAATTAGGTACTGTCATCACCTGCCTTTTGCAGTTGAGAAAAATGAGGAACAGAGAGGTTACATAACTTGATCAGGGTTACAGTGATGGAGCAAAATCTTAAGGCCATAAAGTCTGATACCAGTATCAATGTTTTTAATCACTTGGTGTTCTGGGTTCCTAATCTCCATCTTTTATTCTTCTCCCTTCCATTTTTAGTTGACATGTAATAGTTGTACATATTTACAAGATACAGAGTGATATTTTGATATGCATATACAATGTTAAAATGATTGAATAAGGATAATTAGCATAAACATCACCTCAAATATTTATAATTCCTTTGTGTTGTGAACATTTACAATCCTCTCATGTAGCTTTCTGAAAATATTCAAAAAAATTATAGTTAATTATATTCACCCTACAGTGCTGCAAACATCAGAGCTAATTCTATCTATGGCTAGATCGGAAGAATTAGCTCTGAGATCAGAAGAATTAGCTCTGTTGGTTTTGTATTCATTAACCAACCTCTCCCCAGTCTCCCCACCTACTCCCCTCCCCAGCCTCTAATAGCCACAATTCTACTCTCAACTTTCATGAGCTCAAAATTTTTCTCTTTTTTTTGGCTCCTACAATATGAGTGAGAACATGCTCTATTTTCCTTCTGTGCCTGGCTTATTTCACTTAACACAATGACCTCCAGTTCCATTCATTTTGCTACAAATGACAGGATTTCATTCTCTCTTTAATACTAAATTTTATTCCATTGTGTATTTTATATATATGCATATATATGTATATATATCACATTTTCTTTATTCATTCATTCTTTGAAGACAATTGATTCCATTTCTTGGCTATTGTGAATAGAGCTGTAATAAACATGGGGGTGCAGGTTATTCCTTTGATATACTGATTTCCTTTCCTTTGGATAAATACCCAGTAGCAGAATTGCTGAATTGCATGTTAGTTCTATTTTTGGTTTTTTGAGGAACATTCATATTGCTTTCCATAATGACTATACTAATTTACATTCCCAGAAACAGTGTATAAGAATCCCTTTTCTCCTTATCCTCACCAGCATTTGTTGTTTTTTGTCTTTTTGATAATAACCATTCTAATCAGGATGAGATGATATCTCACTGTGGCTTGGCTTTGCATTCCCTGATGATTAGTGACATGAAGCATTTTTTCATGTTTCTTGGACGTTTGTAGGTCTTCTTTTGAGAAATGTCTATTCAGTTCCTTTGCCTACTTTTTAATTGCATTCTGTTATTTGCTGTTGAGTTGTTTGAATTCCTTGTTTATTCTAAGTATTAGTCCTGTGCAATGAATAATTTGGAAATGTTTTTTCACATTTCACAGGTTGTCTCTTTCTTTCCTGGGAAGAAGCTTTGTAGCTCAATATAGTTCTATTTGTGTATTCTTTATTTTGCCTGTGCTTTTGCAGTTTTAGTCATAAAATCTTTGCCGAAACCAATGTCCTGAAGTCTTTCTCCTCTGTTTTCTTCTAGTAGTTTCATAGTTTTTGGTCTTACATTTAAATTTAATGCATTTTCAATTAATTTTTACATATCGTGAAAGATAGGGGACTCGTTTCATTCTTCTGCCTATGGATATTCAGTTTTCCCAACACTATTTATTAAAGAGGATTACTTTTCTCAAAATATGTTCTTGGTGCATTTGTCAAAAATCAGTTGGCTGGAGCATGTGGATTTATAACTGGGTTCCCTATTTTGTTCCATTGGTCTGATGTGTCTTTTTTTTTAATCTAAATACTATGCTATAATAAGAATGTTAAAAGTATATGTCCTTGTCTTGTTCCAGTGCTTGGAGGAAAGGCATTTGACTTTTCTTCAATTCAGTATGATGTTACCTATGGGTTTTTCATATATGGCTTTTATTATGTTGAGGTATGTTCCCTCTATGCCTAATTCACTGAGAATTTTCATTGTAAGGGGATGTTAAATTTTATTAAACACATTTATTGCATCTATTAAGTTGACCATATGGTTTCTGTCTTTCATTCAGTTGGCATGATATGTCACATTTATTGATTTGTGTATTTTGAATCATCTTTGCATTCTTATGATATATCCAACATGATCATGGTTTCATCTTCATATTGCATTAAGTCCCAAGCTGGCCAAATAAAATTGACATTGTTTCTGACTTTCTTATATAAGTTCTGCAAAGAAATTGTTAAAATCTATAAATAAATACTGAGTGAAAGAATAGATGAATGAGTGGTAAAGGAATGGATGGACATTTCCTGAGAACTTTAGAGAGTGTATGGTTCTTCTAGACTCAAAGAAATTTTCAGGTTTCTAAGTAAAATATTTGATAGTCCAGGCTTCCTTTTGCCTTTCTCTTTTAGTTTTTAATTTTTTTAAAAAAGAATAATTTTTTAGAGCAGTTTTAGGTTCAAGTCAAAATTGAGGGGCAGGAATAGAGACTTCTTATGTACCTCCTACCTTTACATATTATCAACATCCTCTACTGTAGTGATACATACAACTGATGGGCCTACATTGACACATCATAATCACTTCAAGTCCATATAATAGGGTTCACTCTGGTGTTGAACATTCAATGGGTTTCTACAAATATATAATAACCTGTATCCATAATTAGAATATCATACAGCGTACTTTTACTGCCCTAAAAATCCACTGTACTCCACCTATTCATCCTTCCCCAACCCCCAGGCCTAGCAATCACTAATCTTTTCATTGTCTAATAGTTTCACCTTTTCCAGAATGTCATACAGTTGAAATCACAGTATTCTGGTTTTTTGGTTTGATTTCTTCCACATAATACTATACATTTAAATTTCCTATGTGTATTTTCATGGCTTGATAGCTCCTTTTTTAGTGCTGAATAATATTCCATTATCTGGATGTACCACAATTTATTTGTCCACTTATCTACTGAAGAACATCTTGGTTGCTTCCAGGTTTTGTCAATTATAAATAAAGCTTCTGAAACACTCATGTGCAAGTGACTCTACAAACATAGGTTCTCAACTCCTTTGGTAAATATCAAGGCGTGTGATATCTACCTCTTCTGGTAACAGTATGTTTAGTTTTGTAAGAGACTGCCAAACTGTGTTACAAAGTGACTTTACGATTTTGCATTCCCATAAATAAAGCATGAGAGTTTCTGTTGCTCTACATCCTTACCTACACTTGGTGTTGTTATTCAATGGCTTTGGTTACTCTAATAACTGTGTACTGTTATCTCATTTTACTTTGTATTTTTCTGATGACACATGAAGTAGAATGTTTTCATATGTTTATTTGCCATCTGCACATCTTATCTGGTGAGATCAATGGTCTATTTTAAATTCAGATTGTTTTCTTATTGTTGAGTGTTAAGGGTTCTTTGTATATTTTGGGTAATCGTCCTTTATCAGGTGTGTCTTTGCAAATATTTTCTCTCAGTCTGTGGCTTGTTTTCTCATTCTCTCAATATTTACTTAGAATGTTTTGCTCTTATTATTTCCTAATTTTTCCTCTCCTTTCATTTCAAACATGAACTATCACATTCAACATCCCTTCTGCTTACCGGAATGTTACTGCTGCCATTGCAGTTTCAGCTATTGCCTTCATTTGATTTATTAAATGTCTTGGACCCAAATCAGTTTGGTTCAAGTTTTATATATCACTATTACTTTCTTGAGAATTCAACTCCAATTTCTTGGTTAGGAATAACAGAAGGGCTGTGGATAATCAATTTGTTACCAATAAAATTGATAACATAACCATTTGTAAATCCTTTAGAAGTCAGGAATTACGTTAGATTGTCTTATCTTTTCCTCTTATTTTATTTGCATAATGTTCCTGCCAGGTGTTATTCTGCTCAAGTTGCTGATGGGGACATCAGGTTCAGAGCCAGTGGCCACAATTAATAGGTAGTGCAATAAAGTTCCATGTCTGGGCCTGTGCTCTTTTTTTTTTATACTGAGCAAATTTCCACTGTCCTCCAAGTTTCAACTTTCTGATTAGTGAAGTGTTAAATTGATCACTAACTTCTTTTGGAGCTCAATATTATCCTTCA